TAGCCTAGGGCTATGGGAGTACCTGATTTGTAAATGAATAAAGGTTTCTTATACTTTAGCTAGCAGAGGCCTATTGTAGCTGTCTATAATGTAGGGCCTAGGCCTAGCTATAGCTAGGCCTCGTACCTAACTAAAGCCACAAAATACTAAAGTGTTTGTAATATGATACTCGAATAGGTCTATAATTAGCCATATAGCTAGGCCTAGCCCAGGCGCCTAAAAAAAAAATATTGTATTACGGAGACATTTAGAAAGAAGTGTAAACATATCTATTTATTAGGCTTAGCTAGGCCTATAGGCCTATGCTTCCCTTCTTATATTCACATAATAGCTTTCACGTTTTCAATTTCATGCCCGGCTGTGCATTTTAAGTTAAGAGAAGAAAGAAGACCTCGACTCTTATTGATATGGCAAATTACAATCACATAATAATGACAGTCAATTGCAACAAAATACAAATAGTAGTAGGCACTTTAGAATATATACATAGGGCCTACACTTAGTAGGTCATTATAGAATTTAATGGCACCGTTGGCCAGAAATTTACCTTAAACCTTCTTTGATAGGTTACAAACACTGCAGTCACCCCGATGGAGAGAAATAGAAAAGAAGACGTTGTCGAGCGCGAACTTTTTAAAAATTTCAATCACGTGACATACGACGCGTGTATTAATTATTCAAGATAATTTTATTTTCAAACACAAATATTCATACTAATACAATATTTGGGTGAAATAATTGAAATCATATTTTTATTGTACGCATTTTTGAAGAACCGTGCCTGTCAAACCTCAGGTCAATCTTCTATAAACCACGGAAAAAATGAAAAATTACAGAATATCTGTAAATCTTATCTGTTCCCTGTTGTAAATCAAGAAAGATTAAAACACATCGCAGAGTCCGTATGTCTACATCATTCAGTAAATGCACATGTTTATGTCTTTAAATCACAGAATATTCTGTAAATCAACAATATTATAACACATCAAATGTCTGTATGTCTACAACTTTCAGTAAATGCACATGTTGTACGACTACAGACATGTTTTCTAAAACTACGGAAAACTAAATGTAAACTACAACACAAATGTTGTTAAATTACAGAATAGTCTGTAATTATCATTCAGTAAATGTACATGTTTATTTTGTACATGGACAGACAAGTCGTCTAAAACCACGGAAAACTAAATGTAAACTACAACACAAACCTTGTTAAATTACAGAATAGTCGGTAAATTAACAACTTTTTTATGGAACATTACAGTATTTGTATATTAACAACAATTAGTAAATACACAACGATTTAGTGTATGCGTACAAACATATGATATAAAGACATGGAAAACTATTGTATAATACAACACAAGTGTTGTAAATAAGCAGCAAATCTGTAAATGAACAAGAATTTTAAGAAACAATTGAAAAGTCTGTATTTCTACAACATTCAGTATATATAAAGTAGGTTGTTGTACACAAACAACAACTTGTGTGATAAAAACGTAGACAAATTTTGTAAGGTACAACACAGCTGTTGTTAATTAACAAAAATGTCTGTGAATTAACAAGGAGCTATGCAAAATCATAAAAGTCTGTGTATTTTTATATACCTACAACATTATGTAAATATAAAATTGTGAATATAATAGGTGACTAGTATTAAACGTCAGATATATCATTTCTTTTTACTTTTCGACATGTCTTATTACAGCTAATAGAAACATTTATGTTCTGAAAAAAAAGTCTTTGGTTTGAACGATTTGTAAATACTTCAAGCCTAAAATTAACTAAAAATATGAGCCAAAATTTCTCTTTATATAGGCCTACTACCCAAACACTTACAATACGAAAGTGAGAAAGCTTGCAAATAATGATGGTGATGATGATGATGATGATGATGATGATGATGATGATGATGATGATGATGATGATGATGATGATGATGATGATATTAATAATAATCAATTTTAATTCACTTATTATTTGTTATAGAAACAATAAAACCAAATTTGACATGCCCATCTGACGTGACTGAGGAGACCGACACTGGAGCGGCCACGGCTTCAGCAGACTATTCTAGTGCAATTTATATCAACTGCGGTAGTGATGCAATCATCTCTCCCGATCCTAGCCAGATCTTTCCAGCTCATCTTGAGATTGGAGCTGAACGATTCACCTTCACAGCTACAGATTCGTCGAGAAACAATGATACTTGTACGTTTACAATAATGGTTCAAGGTTAGTAATTACCCACCATTAAAAATAAATGTCATTGTAATAACATTTAAGAATATAATATCCATTTAAAATCATTAGAGCACTTATATAATATTTATAAAGTCTTATAATAAATGTATAATATATAAAATTATCTCTTCTTGTCGATTAAGATGCGTGTCGAATACTAGTCTTGTGGTTGCATACGGTAAGGTGTGAAATCAATTTCCCCGATCGGAATCGAACTTCCAATGAAAACCTCAGTGGCCTAGTTAGTTAAGGCGTCGGAATAAACAGCAGAAAGTCCCGGGTTTAAAATCCGGTTGGGTCAGTTATTGTTTTCACATTTCAGATGCCTCTTCTTTACCGTTCACATTCTTTATATTAATATGAAACCCATGAAGCTTGGATACTCCAAGACCATTCATATATGCAGAACATAAGGATCACTTAAAATGTATGACTGAGGAGACAAAATAACTTCTACGACGAATGCGATTGAAAGCCTTCCTCTTTTTGCAACCAACCTATCTCTCGAAAAAGGAAACTTTCGAATTCAAGACCATTAATTCACCAAGCCCCATTAAGCATCGAAATAAATTTTAAAACAAAAAGCTTATCTTTATCCACAACATCGAATTCAAAAATACTAACAACGAATTAAAAAAAAAATATAGCACGATTATATAAACATCAAAAATACAAACAACTACTCATAAATAGACTTTATGGGTTATCCTTGGCTTTGATTTTTTTTTTCTTGTAAATTGATGTAACGCTTGATTTTTTTTTGTTTTTATTTTATGTATCTCTGTCGATTGTTGATGTTTCCAATTCAATGACCGGATTTTATTGTAATTTTTGTATATGTAATGACCGTATTTTATTGTAATTTGATATAGGACGCTTTTTTTAAATGATTTTCGTGTATTTTAAATTGTGTGTTTTATTGTATATAAAGCTGAATAAAATCAAATCAAAAAGGATGTACCAACAAAGTCGTAACCGAAATGTTATATGGTTTCCAGTTAACCCCCGTATAGCGTCAACGTCGCCACCAATAATATAGGTCACACATTTCTACGCCTAATAAATGAACGTTTCCGACAAAAACAAAAGCTCAGAAAGCTATTCAACAGAAACACATTAAAACTCAGCTCTAGCTGGATGCTGAGTATGAATAGTGCCATAACTTCGCACAACAGAACTATATTATTTAACGAACTACAGAAAAGGAACCCTTCAATCGATAATAAAATGTAACTGTCGCCAGAAGTCCGAATGCCCACTATCCCGCAGATGCCTCACTGAAAGGGTTAAGCTACTGTAACAAGGAGTGACAACAATAAAGAAGAAACTTGCATCGGAAAAAAATTAAACTAGATATATAAATCACAATTACTCGTTCAGTAACGCTAAATACAAAAATAGTTCTAAAATGAGTAAATACATTTGGAAAGTAAGACACTAACAAGCAGTTTATACCATAAAATGGGAAAGTATAAAACAATGCAAGCATATTCTAATGCTATAAAACGATGCAATACATGCCTACATGAAAAGTTCATAATTATTTGTCATCCTGAGTTAAGTCTCAACTGCATGGATAGAAAGAGAGACAGACAGACATACTTTTTTTTTATGGCGCCGGTTAAAACGGAAGTTAATGTAATTAGCGATATACAATATATTACACAATAAAAAGCAAAATACAATAAAATATTAATGATAATAATAACAAATAACAATAACAACAATAACAATAACAATAACAATAACAATAACAATAACAATAACAATAACAATAACAATAACAATAACAATAACAATAACAACAACAATAACAATAATATTAACAATAATAATAATAATAATAATAATAATAATAATAATAATAATAATAATAATAATAATGAAATAATATAATAAGCGAGCGAGTTTCGGAGCAAAAGAAAAGAAGACGAGCGTTGGCCGGTTTTGACATTGAAACGTTACATCCTAAGGCCAAAGCCCGCATACCCCAAACAATGCATCCCAGGGAAGGATCGTTGAAGTGTTAGGGCCAAAGCCCCATACCCCAAACAAAGCAACCCTAGGTAAATTAATTAATATAGAAAAAAAGCAGCACCAAAGCAACTCATTCCAAGTGCAACACAACCTATGTGGCTCGGTTCCAGTAGATACAGAGAATATTTTGTCATTCTTAACGCGTCCTACGAAATTCTTACGAGACAGCACTAGTCCGTGAATTTGTGAACAAGATCGGAGATCTAAAGGTGCAATCTCTACCGTGCATCGATGGCGGCCCGCTGGATCTCAATAGAGATTCTTTAATAATATATAAATTCTAAAAGGCAAATGGGAAAACTCATAAAAGAGCAAACGGCCACATAATTCAAAACTATTTAATATTAAAACGGAACAGTAGAGAAAATCCGATCAGAATGACAAAATAAACTAAGCATCCACTGGAAGGAATCCCAATATCTGCAGACGGATCCGTTTCGGCCTTCCAGGCCTCATCAGTGCAGCTAGGGTATAGACCCAAACGAAACGTTCGACCAGCTTATGTAGGGCCCAAACTAGTCCCACGACCACTAATGATTACAGAGCCAAACCAATATATATACACAGCCCAGGTGTGAATGCAAATAGTGGAATACAAGCTATGTGGCTCGGTTCCAGTAGATACAGAGAATATTTTGTCATTCTTAACGCGTCCTACGAAATTCTTACGAGACAGCACTAGTCCGTGAATATATATATGCAACTGACAACTCCGGGGATATCCCTACCATCTCTCCTAAACCCAATGAAACATTTCCTGATGATCTTGGAATTGGGCCACACAAGTTCAATTTTACCGCTACGGATCCGTCAGGGAATTATGATAATTGTACGTTTACTATCCAAGGTTAGTGATTACGCATATTTTACGATTAAATCTATCACATTAAAATGTAAAAGTGTTAGATTAAAAATTAATTTTTCCTTATAAAATTTGTAATACGATGGAAATAATAACGATACCAACTACTGCGACTGTGGCTTCGATGCCACAGTCACAGTAGTAATGTCGTCATCATTATCATCCTATCATATATAATAATTCTTATATTATCTACTATTAATATACTATTATTACTATTATCATAAACATTAAAATTGCATTTACCATTCCCATTACCGTTACAATCACTATCACCATTGCTATTAGACTTGGGAAAAAAATTTAAAAAAGAGGCCTAAAAATCAAGTTGGGCGGAGTGGAATGTTAGAAACAGTCAACATAGCCATATATCCAAATTAATCCCTCCTGGTCACCCTAAGCCCTGTTGACACTTGATTTTTCACCTTGTAAACAAATGGCCGCCATTTTTCAAAATGGCCTCCAAAATTTAGCTAAAATGTCCTCAAAATTGGAGCTAAATAAGCTACAGATATGATTTTAGTTTCTAAATAATGTCTAGTCAGGCAAAAAACTAGACATGTAAAAACTATTGTCACTCAAACAAGAATAGGACATAATTCATAAATAGGTGTTATTTGTTTTAAATTAACCGCAAAATATACCTAAAATGTACCGGTATATGAAATTAAAATAAATATATAAAATCTCCAAAAGTTGGCGTGTTTGGTATCGTTTAAAAATCTCTTCCGTTGCTGAATAATGTTTTGCAGTTAAAACATATCAAAAAAGGTGTATTTTTTCATACATTATCCCGTAAAGTCCAATTATGGCATACCGTATTAATATAAATTGGACACAGTTGCGTAACTCGTGGCTCTCGGAGTGGGGGTGGACTCCTACTACTACCTAGCACATTACAACCAAGCCTTAAGTAATGCATGTGCTTTCTGGGCGAAACGTGGGCCCTTATTACTACTAATACTACACACATTCCTACAACGCTTTGACAATATTGTAACCTTTTCTATAGTTTCCGAAAAACTAAATAGACCAAAATCCCACAATCAATACATTCTATGGCAGATTTATTAGAAGGGATTCTTTCAACTATACCCCAACTTCAACTTTTTACTACAGAGGTTTGACCAGTTATGTAATGCCTGTGTGCTTTCGGGGGAAACGCTTAGTTCCTCCACTACTAAATGTGTCCCGAAAAAGCCATGGACCCCTACTTACTACTACCGAGCAATCTAATAATACGACACTTTTGACAATGTATTTCCTTTTAATTTTCATAAACATACGAGCCCCGGCCAGCTGCATCCCTACCCACCTTAAAATCCAATCCAATAAATAAAGAATTAAATGCATGGATATCCATAATAGTGGGCCTATTTCTAAATACATGTAATGATATTGTACACAACACGTTAAATTCTTGTACGTATGTATTATTATTATTGTATACATTATAGGCCTACTAATAATTCGGATATTCGGATGATAAACGCTTGCAACATCGTCGATTGAACCTTTAAGTACGATGGTCATTTTATTCAGATTGGCCTTATCGTGTTTCAGAAAAACATAATTTGTGGTATCGAAGTGACACTTTATTAAAACTATCAATAAATTTTGTTACTTAAACGTCGTCATATTAATGTTTTCAAGCCTATTTAATGACCTGAAGAAAAAGTGATCTAGAGGTAGTAGGAAGTAAATTTTTGTCCGTTTCTAAAAAGTTTTACTGTAATAGAGCCTATTATTAAATGTTGGAATGGTACCATATATAGATTTATAACCAGGGAGCAAAGTAGCTTAGCTCAGTTGCATAAAGTGGTGGTAGCCACTGTGTGTGCTGAAACGTGGAGATTTCTTAGGTCTTCGATTCAAATCAAATCAAATCATTCTTTATTGAAACACTCAAAATGGGTTGAATTTTGCAAAAGTAAAGTGTTCAAGCAGAAAAATCCAAACAATCAAATTCTAAGCATTTTTGTAACAAAAAGGACCCACATCACAAAAACTGCAAAAGGAAAGAGGTTCAAAGGGCAAAAAGGCAACCAATATTAAAATCAATATTATTATTATTATTATTATTATTATTTTATTATTATTATCATATTATTATTATTATTATTATTATTAATTATCATTATTAATATTATTATTATAATTCTAATTATTGTAGTGAGATTATTGTAGTATTTTAAATACTTATTTTAAAATCAACAAAGCATTAGCCTGTGCATGGAGTTCTTACCAGCCCTGAAACAAACCAAAATTTAAGATGATTTTTTTTGGACCGTTCAGTTTTAACTTTTAGGAGGATAAATTCTTTAGGTCTTCTAAAGCCGGTTACTCATTGCGTGCGACGGCGACGCGACGGCAACGCGACGAAGAACGCACGCGAAGACGCGGACTTAAATGGATCGTCTTTTTAATGAGGATCCGTTCAGATTGCCACTGACAATCAGCAGACGGCGTTGCGTCGTCTGTCGCTCGCCGGAAGCAAATGTGGATTCGTCGTGCAACCGTCGTACGACGCAGTGAGTGTCCGGCTTAAGATGGTAATTGGAAGAGGCTTTAGGAAGGAGGTGGTGTAATCAATTCTAATCGCTGCTCTCCTTGTGTTTCAGACGGAGGGCTGAAATGCAAATTACGATAGCGTATCGTCTTTCGGATGAGACATTTAACCCGTTGGTCCCGTGTGCATTATGGCCTGTGTGCAAGTTAAAGAACGCTATATACTAATCGGAAAAGAGGGGATTGTCTCCCGGTGTATATTGTCGTAATGACTAATGCGTTCTCGTGCGCCAGTCAGTCTAAATTTGCCAATTGTTTTAAAAATGAAATTAAAAAGAAAATTATACTTGCATTTTAAGTCTATGAGTGCCACTTCCGGCCACTTAAAGGTGCCCTAATCATAAATGATTAGCCATAACCATGCTGGAGACTTTTGTAGTTTATCCTTGGTGTTTACACTGAATATACCCATCCACCCATAAGGGGCGGATATAGAGAAATAATTTTGTTTAGCAGTAGTGGAGACCACTGACATTTAACAAAATTGGCTTGGAGCTGGCCTACGGTGTGACGTCATGCTCCTTTCTTTCTGGACTTTTTGCTCCATTTTTGGGGGTTGGGATAGATAGACCCCGTGTGTCCTGGACCCGCCCCTGAAACGATTGATTGAATGATTGTTTGATAATACTTATTTATATTGGCAAAGCTACATTAATGGAACATAGATTAATATATTCATATATTCATGATTAAGCTAATGAAATGCACATGCATATGCATAGACCTGATATATATGTTGCACGCAAATGTGTGTGGATTAGTCACACAATATGGGGGTTACGCTCCCCGGTCACTTCGTGAGCAGAAATATTTACTGATGTGCAAGGTGCTCCTAAGATTTTTTTTTTTCGGCCCAGAGTCCTATGACTCGTCGTTGCACCAGTGGAAAGGAAGGACCATGCCTATTAATATTTTAACAAGTCAGTCAGCCAATCAAATGTATATTTATTATTTATATTTATTACGTTTTTCAAGAAATCACACAGGTGTTACATAATCTTGTCAAACCTCCATGTCGTAGTTGGACTGACCCCTTCTAATAAATTTGCCAAAGAGTTTGTGGCATTTTGGTCTATTTGTTGTTTTTTTTTTTTATTATTATTATAGAAAAGTTATCGTTTCCAGGCGTTTAATAAAGTGATGTGTAGCACAGAAGGGCCCGACCCACGTCGTGGCCTCTCAAGGACCCACTTGAACTGGATAGTAAAATGATAGTTAGTAGTAGGAGATCCCCCCCTCACCCCATCCATGAGAGCTCACGAGCCCTCATAGATGGATATATACATATATACATACACATATACACCCATACATACATACATACACACATACATACATACACATATACATATATACATATACATATATACATATACATATGTAGAGACTATTTGGTGTAGTTGGGGCTGAGTTAAACATTTAGAAACTTACCTATGACAGCATTTAAACTTTTATTTTCTGCTGTTTTGCGCATTGCAACATGATATTTTTTTCTCAAAAGTAAGTAACCTGTACGAAAACCCAAGAAATAATAGATTGCGCAGATAATGTTTTAATATTTATATTGCAGTTCACCTAACATTTGACGGAACAGAAGTCTCCGACGTTGCTTTATCTTCTGACCCAGATAGTGTCACATTATCGGCTTCAGTTGACGCAGACGGAAAAAGTATCGATATCTATATTAATTAAAAAAGTATAAACGTTATGGACAAATAAATATATCAGTAGTACATGTTACTCAAAGTAATATGTTTCTATTAGTAAACGAACTAAGACATGAGAGCATTTTTAGATTAACTCTGGGTAATCTTTAAAACTAAATGAGACGCATTATTAAAAATACGAAATAGGCATATTTCATTGAATTAAGGTGAATTTGTTAATGTTAGTGCCTTGATTAAATAACCTGGTGCAAGTAAACTCTAAATTCTTATTCTATAGACGGACCATTCAAAGTCTCTGCAAATCAAACTGTTCTTGATGAATCCATATCTCTGCAAACTTCGTAAGTTACGTTCAAGAGTGTACATTGCTTCGCTGCATAGAACAGATGGGGTATTACAACTTACCGTATTAATATATACATGGTAGATAATGTTGAAAACAGTTTCGGCCAGACTGGCTCTTCGCAGTTTAATAATTACCTAAAGTTTGTATATATGTGTGTGTGTGTGTGTGTATATATATATGTGTATATATATATATATGTGTGTATATATATATATATTTACCTTTCTTTGATGATTTATATATATATATATGTATATATTTGTATATATATGTATATATATGTATACATTTACGCACATATACATATACATACATACTACTACAGCCTTAACATCGGCGGTGGTTCCAATCGCTCTTCGCCCATGGTTCGGTTGGTAGAAGTCTTCTTTCGGAAGAGTTGGGGGGTTACCCCGATGATGATTCATTTCAGCTCTTGATGGCTGCTAGAAAGTCACGGACCACGCCCATACGCAATTCAGCACAATTACGCTGCAAGTTATTGGTTATTCTCCTACCTTTAACCCTTTATAACCGTATATGGAGTGTTTGTTTAATCGAGGAACCAGTCGAGATTTTATATTTGCTTTTTCATAATATTTCGATGTTTCAGTGTAGCAGTTTTGACAGAAAGTCATCCTTAATTATTAATTTTGTTGACTTTTTCTGATAAAAATGTGTCAACCTTTTTGTCTAATACATTTCATTCATTTTTAACAATGTATTTTGTATTATTATTTTGCAGTGGAGAAGAATTAAGTAGTGCTTCTGATATTGTGAGCATGGATATTTATGACAAAAACAATGAAATAATACAAGTTAAAAGTATTGAAATTAACTTTCCTGTAATTAAGGTAAACATATATAATTGTAACTATTTTAAATATATTTTATATTATTTTAAACTACAAATTAAGATGGGTAAATTAAAAACAAAATACCACCATGAGATATTCAGTTTTACAAAATAACAGTTGATAAGCTTTGTTGTTATAGAATGTTTGCTTTTGAATTCCATGTCATAGATTCAAACCCTGTCGCATGCTTTTCTCTCACGACGAAACTGAAGTTCTTTGCTGGAAAGTGGAGGAAAAATGGTCAGCCTTTTGATTTTCGCACTGAATAGTACAATTTAATGCTGCTGGCCGGGAGATCCTGATACCGTGTATTAGTTCATACTGTCATCTTCATTCTCTTTTCATATTATCTAGCCTGCAAATTATGTACTTATTATTGTATCTTTAAGTAATGTCTGGGAGCCGCTACTGATAACTCCTTTTGAATTTCATTATTGATCAAGTCTTGCTGTTTATTATTTTACCTATTTGTTCATTTGTTACTTATTTTGCTTGTTATGGATCTTTATCAGTGCCCTATTGTATCAATTATTACCTCAGTTTAAAGTTTGTGGGTGTTACGATAATTGTACATTTTACTATCTTGACTAAATGCTCTTGGAAACTATCGCAATTATTCATGTTTATAAACTTAATCATACATCACTGATCTTGTAGGATGGCAATCCCTCCCATTTAATAATTTAGATAGTACTGAAATTACCTTACCTAATATCAACCCCATTTTATTAGTGAACTCGAGCAAATCATTAAATACCAAATTCAATCCTATTGAAAATGTCATCGATACTAAATATGATGATCAATTAGACCCAACACGAAATTATCTACAAGAGCATTCCAATACATTAGAAAACTGTAAATATATGGGTGAGGATGAATTTAATAATTTTTCTGAAAAAATATCATCTCAGGCACTCTCATTGTTCCATTTGAACATTAAAAGCCTTTCTAAGCACATCGATGATCTAAAACACTATTTATCCACATTAAATCATACATTTTCTATTATAGGAATTTCTGAGACCTGGCTTAACCCCACATCTGTGACTCCCCATATTAGTAATTACACAATTCACTCTAAAGATAGGCTTAATCAAAGTACATAAGAACCTAAAATTCATCCCACGACCTAATCTCGCTCTTGATGTTAATGCTTGTGAATCCCTCTTTGTTGAAATCATAAACGAAAATAATAAAAATGTAATCATAGGTATTATTTATAGAGCACCTGGCTTAAATGTACATCACTTTACATCTGCCCTTGAATAAACTATAATCTATAATAAAGATAAACAATGAAAATAAAAAAGTGCTATATAATGGGTGATTATAACATTAACTTACTTAATCATAATTGTCACAACCCCACTAGTGAATTTATTGAAAATATTATGGCAAACACTTTTTATCCATTTATATCTAAACCTACACGCATTTCGGATAACTCTGCCACTTTGATCGATAACATATTTACTAATTTATTTGATGATAATATTCTACAGGTATCAAGTGTTTTAATAACTGACATATCTGATCATCTTCCAATATTCCACATCGGTTGTCCTGTCAAATCAACTAAGAGCAATGACATAATATTAATATAAAACTAAAAATGTATTTAATTAACGAACTCTGAATGCTTTCAATGAAGCTTTAACTCTAGTAGACTGGTCTGTGGTCTATCAAAAAAGTGATCCAAATGATGCTTATAACTGATTTTATAACATTTATAGAAGTGTACATGATAAACATATTTGTAATAGAAATAATTCTCGTAATACCAAAAGATGTAAGCAACCCTGGATGAGCCCTGGCTTGGTAAAATCGAGCCAGTGGAAGCATGTGCTATATAAAAGGTATATGAAGAACCCCAACATGAATAATAAAATAATATATACTCGGTTTAAAAACAAATATATTAACCTGTGCAGAATTGCCAAAAAAAAACAGTTTTACATTAATAAATTTGAACAAACAAAGGTAACATTAAGCAAACATGGAATGTTATCAACTCTGTGATAAGGCCTCAAGGAACCCAACTTGCTATTCCAGATACCTTCTATCATAATAATACACGTGTTACTGGTAGTCAGAATATTACTGACTTTTTCAATCATTATTTTGTAACCGTAGGTCCAAAGGTTGTAAAATCAATTATTCCGCCTACTGTTCAAATTGCGCCATCTGACTACTTGACTGGCAACCGCTGCCCCTCATTCTTTTTAACACCTGTTGTAGAACAGGATGTTATACGAAATCTAGATTCCAACAAATGTTCGGGTTTTGACAACATAACGTCAAAAGTGGTCAAAGGCTCTGCATTATCCATTTGAAAACCACTGACTTATATTATCAATCAGTCGTTTATAAAAGGAATCGTACCTGATAACCTGAAAATTGCTAAAGTATTGCCAATTTTCAAAAAAAGGTAAACGTGATGATTTCACAAATTATCGACCCATATCTATCTTACCAATATTTTCTAAAATACTTAAAAATTATGTATTCCAAATTATACTCATTTTTAGATAAATTCACTATCCTCAACGATCACCAATTTGGGTTTCGTGAAAACCATTCGACATCTGATGCTATTATGGATCTTATCGCCAACATTACGGCGGGATTTTGAAAATAAGAAATTCTTAATCAGTGTGTTTATGGACCTTTCTAAGGCCTTTGATGTTATTGATCATGATATTTTGCTTAAAAAGCTACATTACTATGGAATCAGAGGTATTGTTTTACATTGGTTATCTAGTTACTTCAGTTGTAGGAAACAATACGTCATCGTTAACTCAAATGAATCAAATCTTTCAGGCATAACATGTGGCCTACCACAAGGGTCAGTATTAGGCCCTTTGCTGTTTCTAATTTATATTAACGACATTCATTTGGTTAGTAATGTACTTAAAACGGTGTCATTCGCTGATGATACGACTGTTTTCCTATCAGGAGACAATCTTGATATGTTGTTAACCATCAAGTTAACCATTGTTAAATATTGCCAAAAAAATAACTATATAATTTTCCGTCCAACTCAGAAGAAATGCCCTGAAATTGACAATCCTTTTAAAATCAATGGTAAAGCAATAGCTCAACAGAAAAAAGTTCAATTCTTGGGTATAATTTTAAATGAACATATTATTATTAACTGGAAAATTCATATTGACTTCCTCAATAGTAACTCAAGGGTCAGTATTAGGCCCTTTGCTGTTTCTAATTTATATTAACGACATTCATTTGGTTAGTAATGTACTTAAAACGGTGTCATTCGCTGATGATACGACTGTTTTCCTATCAAGAGACAATCTTGATATGTTGTTAACCATCAAGTTAACCATTGTTAAATATTGGCAAAAAAATAACTATATAATTTTCCGTCCAACTCAGAAGAAATGCCCTGAAATTGACAATCCTCTTAAAATCAATGGTAAAGCAATAGCTCAACAGAAAGAAGTTCAATTCTTGGGTATAATTTTTAATGAACATATTAACTGGAAAATTCATATTGACTTCGTTGCAAGAAAAATTTCTAAATCGATAGGAGTAATTGGCAGAGTCAAACAGTTTTTCCCTACAAATATTTTACTCGCTCTTTACAATACACTAATTTCGCCTTACCTCCAGTATGGTAATATTATATGGAGAAATGACTATCCCTCAAACCTTGTTAAACTATATAACCTCCAAAAACGAATTATTCGTATTATTACATCATCACCATATAGATGCAATGCTGAACCACTATTTCATCAACATAATCTTTTGAATATTTATGACATTAATAAGGTACAAGTAGGATGTTTTATGTATAAACACACCCATGAAATGTTACAAAATGTATTTAAGGATCTATTTCAGTACAAAAGTAATGTTCATAACTATCGGACAAGACAGTGTAATAGGCTTCGTATTCCGTTTGTTAGGCTGACTAAAAGCCAATTCTCAATTTGTATCCATGGTCCGCATGTATGGAACAATATTGATAGTAAACTAAAAACATCAAATACTATTAAGACTTTTAGTAAACTACTTAAAAAGGAAATCATCTCAAATTATCAAAATGTACTTATGGAACAACATTGATAGTAGTAAACTAAAAACACCAAATACTCATAAGACTTTTAGTAAACTCTGAAAAAAGGATATCAATAGGTACTTTTATGATATTTTTTTCTTTTTTGTGTGTTTTAATTTTTAGTCTTTGTATCTGTTAAAAGGGACCATTTAGACAAGCATAGGCTTCTAAACTGGTCCCTCGCCATAGTATTGTATGTTTTCTTTTTTCTGTTGCTCATGGTGAAATAAATGTCACATTGATTGATTGATTGATTGATTGATTGATTAATTGATTGATTGATTGACTAAGACATTCTACTTCCTGGATATAGACACTAAATTTTAAAGTGTTACACTGCCCACTAATTTGCGTGTTACTTGCTGCTGGCTGTAAAAAACTTAAAAACCAAGTACGACACATGCAAGTTAATTCACTTACATTGAAACCAATAAGCAAGACCTTTTCAGGCAGGAATTTTGTCAGTTTGTTTACATCAGTCATGCATCATGGGCATTGTTCAATAACTTAAATTAACATCACTTTCTTTTAACAAAATATGTATGAAGGTAAATAGTACAGAAAATGGTAAAAGTGCGAGTCTTTCCCCGGTACCGGTATGTTACTATACACAAGATGAAAATGTCATATCAGCGTAAGTAAATATTCTTACATTATTATAACATAATAATGGTAATAAATATTACAACAGTAGGCCTAACAAAATAGATTGGCGTTTTTGCTTCCCTGTAGTATTTGAGTATGTAATTTGAATACTTATAAATAGTTTTAGAAGACAGCAAAAATTTACTGAACACGGAATAAATTTTTATATATCAAATACAAAATCTGTGTTGAAAATGAGTTTGTAATTTTTTATTTTATTCAGTATAAAGCAACACAATTTAAAAGCACAACATGTTTACATTAACAGCAATGAACATTTTTTTGGAGATATAATTCAGGGCATAATAACAATGGCAACATGATTATATCAAATAAATTAACATTTTACCATATAGGCCTATAAACGACAAAAGCATGTATGTCAGCAAGTTTAGTAAATAACAGAAACGGTAGAATAAATACTGTAGATTGATTGAACATGCTTTGTTGACTCAATATTTACATATTGATTTTCGTTAAATATTGTTCACAATCGTTGATTAATGTTAATATTTTTAAGTAAATGGTCAATGAAGGGCTGTAAAACTGTCTATGAAAACTATGTCAAGAACGGCGTGACGTGTGTATGTGATCATCTGACATCGTTTGTCATTTTGATGAAACCGAAGCCGGTACCGGTATGTACTAAACAAATAGGAAATTATGGATATATAAGTAAAGGATTAAAAATACACGCTTGTTTAAGAACCTCAGTATTAATCCTATTACAATATTTTCTAGACAAACGAGAACGACATTTTGTCTTTGCTTACAACAGTTGGGTTATCAATTTCAAGTTTGTTTCTCATAATTACTCTCGTCATTATCTGTATTTTCAGGTAAGTTTGAATAAATATTATATATTTTATGTTCGTATTAATCATGAAATTAAAATATGACATAGCTTTAATTTTCAACATCCGATAAAAATTTGATCAAAAAATCATTGGTAATTTGTATCTTATATGCAGCAGGGCAAGCGAATCATTTTACATAGACTCGGATATCCCGATCGGTACTCAAAATATTATGTTTTTGTATACATTTTCCTACTTTCTGCTTATAGTTCAGGAAATCATTCATTTTGAAAATAATGTTGAGTAGTAAACAATCAAACTTTTGGTTATTTGTATTTCAGAGATTTAAGAAATTCTGAGAGATATAAAATCATGCGCCACTTGGTCATCGCTTTACTTTGTGTCAATTGCTTCTTTTTGTTACTCGAAGTTGATGCAAAAGAATCGGTATGTCTTCGTATTTTTACCCAATAGCCTCAACAAGTATAGAATAGAAAAATGTCCGACTCTGGGGTTTCTTTTAAACGCAATGCTAGTCTTTCATAATGGAAATACCATTGGGTTGTATGAATACTAGAACTCTAATTCCAATGCATTCGATGTTTCAAAAATGCCAGTGTTTATCGGCACTTCAAAAAAATGACAATCCGGTTTTTTTAAAACGAGCTAAAACTTCGAAATCACGTCATTTCGTATTCTTAAAATGAATTTGACTAGAGGACTGCAAATAAATCACGCGCACTTCAACTGAAGTATTTCAACTATTTGATTTTTCTAGCCTGGTTAAGGGCAAGCTAAAATGCCGATTTAAAAATTCGCATCGTTAAAAACGTATGTTTTATAGCTCACACGATTTATTACAAGAAACAGAAATGGTACCCTATGCAGGTCTAATATTTTATAAGTGTAGTTAATGAAAAATTGCATTCCAGATTAACCCAATAGCCATGTTTAGCTTGTCATAAAGTTGCTGCCAATTTGCTTAAGAGAAAAATTTTCGCAGGTGATTCGGGTCGGAATCAAACCAACGAAGTGATTTGGGTTGGAATCGAACACACGATCTCCAGGTATCTAGGCTGCTGTCTTAAACACTAGACCACCGAGCATGCGCTTAGTAGTCTATTGATGAATACAATATAAAAAAAAGTAGCAGTAGGTACTTCAATGCTTTACCGATGGCGTATTTTCGTCAGGAGAAATAATACAAAAGGTTTGCCTACCAGACTTGTTGAATGCTCAGTACAATCCCAAATATTTGCGAAAGAAAATCACTAGTGATTCGGGTGGGAATTGAATCTACGACCTCCAGGTACCAAGCCTGATATCTTAACTACTAGACAACCGAGATTTGCGATTGGTGGCTAGTGGTGAATCCGATTCTCAAGTAGCAGTGGGTACTGCAATGCTATTCCGATTGTGTATTTTCGTCAGGAGAAATAATACGAATTGATGTTTGCCGCCCTACCTGGCTTGTTATAAGTACGGTATTGAATGTCCGGTACATTCCCATTTCTTTTCCCCCAAAAAAAATCCTCAAGTAATTTGGGTGGTTAAGACATTAGGCTACTTATCTGGAGGTCGTGATTTAAACTAGATCGTCACAAAAACGTAATACTTTCTTCCATGTAACTTGACAAGTTAAACTTTCTCAAAGTTTCATTCAGATCAGTTTACCCGTTTTTGAAATATCTGGTGTAGAGTGTTTGCTCTTAAGCCACTTTAATTGGCCCTCACAACACACTCCACTCTAGACACTAAATATTAGGAAGTACATCCTTGATATAATGGTCTATGCTTCGACAAAGAATGGAAAGATCCAAGAATGGAAAGTAACCAAAGTGCCGGGCGGAAAACGCAAGTGCAGAAAGATAGGAAAAACGACGTGGAAGAAAAAAAGAAAAAAAATAATAACAAAAACAATGGCTTTTCTAACTACTGCTGAAAAAGCAAATAACGTCTTGGAAGTACGGTAACAATTTAACATCGACATTCTGTCCTCACAGATCCCATGCAATGTCCTTGCAGCTTTTCTGCACTACAGTCTTTTGGCAGCTTTCTCCTGGATGTTGATTATATCAACGGATTTATTCATGAAGATCAAACGTCCGTTTGCTGATCATTCAAAGCGCTTCACTTACTGTCGGTTCATAGGATGGATTGGACCTGTCATTGTTGTTGCAGTGACTGCTGGTATAACAAGAGAAAACTACGCATCTGATAAGTAAACATATTTTTGTTCACTACAAAAGGACTGTAATTTTAAGATTTACTGCAGTACAGGGACATTAAATCATACTTATTACTTTGATTG